TGGGTACGGGATTTTCGCCCAGGGGTGTCACGTGTATTATTGTAATAAGCCATATTATGATAGGATGAAAGAGAATTGAAGAAATTGGACACCAAGAGAGAATTTGCTGTGCATATTTTGGTGGCATCACTTGTATTTGTGTTCACTTTTATCATTCACTAACAGAAATGCGTTCGAATGTTGGAACCGAGAATTAAAAGCCATTTCATATCATATCATATCTTTTGCCCGCCTTCAGACTTTACGCCTCTATGATACAAGCATGCATTATCTTCTCATCTGGGCTTCCGGCCGCCAGCCTACTCGAGCATACTCGCTTGGTTGGTATAAAGCACATCGACCACACTGCTCAATTTCTCGATCGTTGCCAATGCAGCATCATATCCTACATCTCTCTCCGTCTCATCGTAAATGATCAAACATCCAGCTCCTTGATCCAATACTCCAATAATCACCTTGTCAAGAATCATTTGTGATAACTTCCTCTCTACTTGTTGTGTATCAAGACCAACCATCTTGGCAATGTGGGCAATTTCGACGCGTGAAAAGGGCTCGATTACTTTGATTAGATTCTGCTCCAACATGGCATCGTAGAGACGGCGGAGATGGTTGCGGATGAAGGCATCGGAGCCGAGTTCATGACGGTAATCGCCCAGTGCTTTTTCGTATTCTTCTAGAGAACGGTTGGAGTGGGCACGAGCGACGGCTTTCATGGCTTCGAGATTTTTGCCTGCATATTTAATGGCTTGTTTGGAGGTCATCAGTTGGTTGACATCGTCGGCAAGATTGAGCATAATTTTGCAAAGAAGCATATATTGAAGTGCTGCAGTAGCTTTCTCCGGCTCGTCTTGTGTGTGGTATCCATCTAACGCTTCGATAAAGTAGGAGAATGCTGTATTGAAGTCTTTGTCCTCGGCGTGGAGTTTTCCAGATTGCATATCGAGGCCGGCTTGGAGAAGGGGGGGGGTATACACAGATGCGGCGCTTGTTCTGGCAGCGGTAAGTGCGGCGCGTCCTTTGGCTGTGTTTCCTAAAGCATGGTAAACGCGGGATTCCAGAAGTTGAACTTCGACGAGGACAAGCTTATCATCGAGACGCTTGAGCTCGCGGAGGAGGCTATTAATGAGGGTAAGAGCATCGTAGTAATCTTGCTTGATCATGTAAAGGCTGACGAGACGGGTTTCAAGGTTCTGTCTTAAAAAGCCACGACGTTCGGATGTGGCCCATTCGATGCATGATTTTGTGACGGTGATTTGGGTATCTGTTGTGTTGGGAATGGAATTGAATAGATCCAGAAGTTGTCGCACTGGAGTCAAAGCTTGTTAGCAGAGTTCTAACCATACCATTATATAGAACTCTATCTGGCCAAACATAGAAGCCCCAATCTTCTTACCTAGCTTTGCTGTTTTAGCTTTTGCGAATGACGATAATACTGTCCGGCTTGTTGTGATCAAATCTACCAACTCATTTGCTTTTCTATACAGGAATCAGTGACTATCCCAAATTTAAGTAGGCTCTGGGTTATCTGCCGCTCACTTTTCATCTCGATACAATTCTCCCAAGCTCACCAACGCAGTTTCATATTCTCGAACAGAAGCTTCTGATGTTACTGAAGGTGGTTTGGAGATGATGTCCTTGTATTCTGCCTCGGCCTTTCTTGGATCTGTCTTTGCCAACTTTTGGGCGTCTTGTATCCTTAGTGATTCTGCTGGTGCCATATTTGATAATTGTAGAGAATTAAATTTGGGTAGAGTTGTGAAGTTGTGTTTGATGTTTTGAAGGGAATCGCATTTGTAGGTAAACTCGCCATTACGATGCCACTAGGAACCTGGAGCTTGTGGATACTGCGCTAAAAAGCAACACCCCTGCAAAAATTTATTTGGCTGGATTTTTATTACCACCTCAATATTTCTTTGCGATAACTTCAACTATAACTTTCAAGTTTTCAATAATGACAACAACATACTGAATTTAATATGGTAAGTTGAAATTCTAATCAATCATCAATCTGTATACTTTGCTAACTCAGCTACTCTATAGAAGATTAAAGCACTCAGTCGGGCGTCCATTCAGGCCCCAGGGTCTGAAGCCAAACAGCCCCGCAACCTTGGTATGTATAGTTGACTCCATGAAGGGCACTGGGAGGCAGATATTGATACTTTCTAAAGATCCAGCATTACATCCATTCGAAAGAGCCCGAGAATATACCCGCGCCCTCAATGCCACAAAAATGGAAAGGATGTTCGCCGCTCCTTTCATCGCGCAATTAGGAAAAGGACATGTCGACGGAGTTTACACAATGGCAAAGGATCCCAATGCTCTCGAACGATTTGCAAGTGGTAGTGGCGATGGTGTTGTGAAGGTATGGGATTTGACCTCTCGGGATGAGGTATGGCAAACTAGTGCGCATGAGAATATTATCAAAGGCATGAGTTGGACGAGGGACCAGAAACTTTTAACTTGCGCAAGTGACCGATCGATCAAACTTTTCGACCCCTACAATACAACTACTGGATCTGCGCCCGTGGCAACATGGTTGGGAACCAATGCATTTACAAGCTTATCACATCACCGTTCTAATAACGCATTCGCAGCGGCATCTGGAGTCATCTCAATATACGATCTCGAAAAACAAAATGCGCCACCCGATGTTTTGAAATGGCCAAATTCGACTGATACTATTACCAACGTAGCATTTAATCAGGTTGAAACCTCTATACTTGCTTCCACCGCTACTGATAGGTCGGTTGTATTATATGATCTTCGGACTGGACTTCCAATTCACAAAACTCTGCTCAATTTTGCCTCGAATGCTATATCATGGAATCCTATGGAAGCATTCAATTTCGCGGTAGCCAATGAAGATCACAATGTCTATATTTTCGATATGAGAAAGATGGAGAGAGCATTGAATGTGTTAAAGGGTCATGTCGCTGCTTGCATGGATGTAGAATTCAGCCCAACTGGTGAAGAGCTCGTTACAGCATCATACGACAGGACAGTCAGGCTGTGGAGCCGGACCAAGGGGCACTCAAGAGATATTTATCATACCAAGCGAATGCAGAGGGTCTTTTCGGCAAGATGGACACCAGATTCTAAGTTCATTCTTTCTGGTTCAGATGATGGCAATATTCGATTATGGAGAGCCAATGCTTCCAAGCGAGAAGGAATTAAATCGGCAAAACAGCGGACTGCTCTGGAATATAACGAGGCATTGTCGGAGCGATATGCTCATATGCCCGAAATTAGACGCATCAAACGTCACAGACATGTTCCTAAGGTCATCAAGAAAGCTGGAGAGATCAAATCCGAGGAACTCAAGGCCATTAAGCGCAGACAAGAGAATGAACGCAAACACACTAAGAAGCAATTCTCGAAGAGACGTGCAGAAAGAGAGAAAATGGTTTTGGCAAACGAAAAGTAATATTATGTATGATTGTCTGGGACACTATCTTTGGGTGCGGAGTCAAGGTAACTGGCGGCATTCGCGAGGCGTTTAAGATTATGGCTGGTTTCGGAATACCACACATTACATTGATTTGACTTGAAGGTAGACAATGGAGATGTGATAATAAAACCCTATCGCTGGTTCAGGTGCCCTGCAGTTCTGTCAATTATGCTCCTTAAATGGATAAAATTCTAATAGAGCGAGCGCTCATAATGTCTCTTCTGATGCTACCATGTGCTAAAGATAATAGTCAGATCAAGCAAGATGGCACTACCTTACATGAATCCCATCACTTTTAACACCGGCTTGTGAAAATATAGTATCGAGCTGTCCAAAACTTATATTTGTGCTTCAAGTCAGTATTGTAGTCCTATTGCTTTATTGGGTGGTATCACATTGACTAAAGCCGCCTAAGACGGTATCTTAATCCGCCCAGAAGACAGCAATTGACAGGAAAGCAGTGAAATTGACATTCGAAAGAGCTATTCTATTGTTGGAGCACGCAGCATTATTGGGAACGCTAATGATAACTATTAGGATGGCAAGCGTGCTACTTCACCGGAATCATGTTCGATGTTTGAATCGGATGCTCGTTCAGGAATTAAAGATTTTGGTGACACTCAGCAAATTCCGTTCAAATCCCTTTGAATTGTTCTCTTCACTTGAAAATTCGAGTTTTCGATGCTTATGATCCTCCAGCACCAAAGGCCGACATGGCTCCAGCTCAATCACACACTGTCGTCCCCACAGCTGTTGATACTACCAGCATACAATTCCCGATATCGATTCTCCAATACAGCGAATTGGAGACTTGAAGGCTTGGGAATGAACAGTCATAAACTTTTCGGGTCATTCTGCAATTCTCTTCTGTTCCAGGTGTGTTGGCTTTGCCTGTGCTCAATGGTCTCAGTGTCTTATATAGATATAAGATGTTCCATCCCTCCAAATGTACATTGCTAAACAAATGATTCATCCGACAGAAAGGAAAGATCCTTGATATTGATTGTGTCATAACGCCACAGTTCTACTCAGCTCGTCAATAACAAAGGAATTTAACGTGATGTTGCCTTCATAGAAGATTTCCTTGTTTGAGTTTTCATATATTTATATGTATCTCGTACTATCTCATGTTTCGTTCATTGGCTGGCCAATCTTTTTGTCTGCTGTCCAAGTTAGTCTTTCGTCATAGAACTTTCAGGTCTGAGAAGGTCTCATGCGCGAATTCGAGCTCTCGAATTGGAAATCTTGCTAAGGTGAGGAGCTCATGGCACGAAGTCTTGCGCACTCTCCGGCTAGAGCAATTCAATTTGCATCTCTACTCTAGTCTGATATACGCTGCGAGACTTGAGGTTCGTTTAGTATCTTCGAATCTTTATCCGTCATGGCAATAACTTTGAATCCTGCCGTTTTAAGTAGAAACAGGTTCAGATGATGTATATGATTCATCTTCGAAAATTTGAGTATTGTAAGTAGTCACAGTTAATTGGTTTTATCGTGACCTCCCTAAAAGTTCAATGATATCTATATATATTGCTTGAGCCCGGCTCTCGAAATGGGCAAACAGCGACGCATCTGTCCACTCCAATACTCAAGTAATCGAAGAAATCTTCTTCCTAAGCGTCTAAAGTTCCTCCATTTGTATGTATTATCACTTGCCAGTATGGCTTCCGAATTCCTTTTCGTCTTGTAGCTAATCGTCGAGCCAGCTCGAAATCAAGGAACCCCTATATCCTCGAGATTATCTGCTCGTCACCCAGACAGTCGACTATCAGGTTCCGCTTGGTATATCACCAATCTCTTTACACGTACTATGTGGTGTTCTATCTGTGAGCGGAACAATATGTCATGCCTTGCTTGCTGCGGAACCAAAACTTGCAAAGCATTGCTCTCCACTAAAAGATACGTCGAATATTACATCGTCACAAATAAGGAGGGAAGCACAACAAAAAATTGCACCAATTGAACATTACATTGTAACTTCTAAGGGAGAAGAAGTTACAAGTGTTCCTGATGGAAAGATGAAAGATGTGGTTATTCAGATTCGATTGTTTGGCTTTAGAGCAATAGTCGTGGTCGCGGAGAACTGTGGAAAGGACACTTGTCGGATGATCCTTAGTTGTGAACATCGCGCGGTTAAGATTTCTTTTGCACAGAGAAATCCTGATGATGTTTTGGGGGGAAGCTACAAGGCCATTGAGACTGTCGTCTTCCCCAAAAATGAACAAGTCGAGGCAGAAACTTTGATGGACTTGATTTGTTAGATGGATATTATAATGGTAAATTGAGAAGTTGGAAGTGGAAATTTCATAGGATAAGTTGAGCATTTTGGGGGGACACGCCATGAGATCTATCATGCAGTAAAGAAACTTCTTTCTAGAGACGTCCTGGCTTGTGAGATGGATAATATAATGGGCAGATTGGGTTTACAGTAAATTTTTGTTTGACATTTCGCAGTGTTGGTAAATTGTTGTAAGGATCGAAGGCTTTTTTTTTTCGTTTTTGGAAAGTAGGTAGAAAATTACAATTTTTGTGTACATAATTTGATGACTTCAAAGGGGGAAAAACAGCGGGACTTTAATTACAAGCTTGTTAATCGATAGCAGTAATATCAAAAAATATTCCACCCGCTATATGTATAGGAAATAACTACAGGCTATCATCATTCAGATTCCTAGCTCTTCGAAATCATCATCCAGATTTCTAGACTTTTGACATTCATTGCCAGACCCCCTTTGTATCTTTCCGGTCAAGAAGATATCCTGCTCGTCCGAGCTTAGCTGGTCGAAGGCTAGCATGATTGCTACTTTTTTGGCTTCCTCCTTTACCTCCTTTTTGCGTTCTTCCGCAAGGTAACCCGCCGACGCACCCTTATCTTTAAGATAACGTTTGTAATTGGAGCAATTCCTATACAAATACCTATCGAATTCTTCCCACTCGTACTGAGGAATCTCTTCATCTGATGGCTCCTTAACACCTCGACGATACGCTTGACTACAGACTAAAGCATCGGCAGGCATATCCACATCCGATACCGAGCCGTATCATCTGCTCTGTAAGAACTTCTGGCCACGAAACTCTGTCTGGATGGTCTCGAATCAAGTTTAAAGTGGACTCCCGACTCCCCATGTGACCACGCCACAGCCACCATTCCCACCATTCTGGACGATAACCTCCATGCTCCCAATCTATGATAGCGGTAACATGTCCATCTTTCACCATAATGTTAGATGGGTCGAGATCACAATGAGAGTACATATTTCGCTCCTTCCTTGAGAGGATAACTCTCCTTGAACTTCAGTATCTTTTCCTGCGGGATGTTGGAGGGGTTACGAATACGGGGTTCTGTACGTGCCCACCATTCTTCTCGATCGGCAGTCATCAGATCCACATAGGTATATTCAGCTCCAAAAATTTGATCTCTAATCGGCTTACCATCTGGAGCTTCAGGTTTTGTCGACGTAAATTTGCGTGCTTCCGCCAGATACTCTGCTAATTCCGTGCCGATTGTGCGATGCTGTTCTAAAGTGATCTTTCTGTGCGCTCCGGAGTGTTATGCCAGGGACTCTCTCCATCAATTGCCAGTAGCTGGTACTATCTTCCCAAGCACACATATTTCTTGCTACAGGAACATTTGAATTCTCGGTCAAGAATTTACTTATTGCATAGTCCGAGTGTGGTTTTGTGGGATCTCCATTTTCGTGTTTTGCGCGTTCTTTCAAGAAGTACTTTTCGCCCAGAGACCACATACCCCTACAGGAATTCATTGAGACTTTGACATGACTGAAGTACACGTCATGTTCCTGTAGGCTGGAGTTCAATCCACAGACATGGCAAAGCAAGAAGTCTGGACTTTTCGGACGGTGGAGCTTGAGCTCTTCTTTTGTCGTTCCCTCGAAAGGTCTATATAACGTCATTATCTTTATAGCTGGTGCCACAGTTCACCATAAACTGGGATCTGTAGAGTAGCTGATTGGACTTAAGATGTTTCGGCAGGTTGTATTGTGGGGGAAGTGGGAAATATACCACACTTATATAGAGCAGTGAAAACAAAGAAATTAAATTTGAGAGTATAAAACTACTCTTCTATCTGAATAACACAAAGAATGAGATCAATATATTCCGGCTCTCTTTAATCATAAATTCGTTTCTATAATAGAGGAGATAAGAAACCATATCAATACATTCCAGCTCTCTTTGTTAAATACATTAAGAACTAGTTTTTGTTGCTCGATATCCTAAGCCATAGAATACAAAAAGATAAATCTGGGAATGACTGATTCTGAATTAATTTACTATTCTGTATTTATACTATCTAATAAAACCTACGAGGGCGTGTCTTTAATGATTATCGAGCAAAATAACCGAACTCACTAATATTTATTATATGATTTTTATAATAAATATAACTTTATAAATATTAATAAGTTTATTCTATCAAATTTATATATAAATTTTAATATAAAAAATTATTTAAATTTGAAAAGATTTTTCAAATATTATTTTTACTTTAATTACTATTGAATTCCAAAATAAATAAGTTTATACTTATTTTGATATGGAAATATCCCTGCGCATGGATCCGATATATATCAAAGACACGCTCTCGTAGTTATCGAGAGATCCATCTTGTCTCTTACAGAGTTGTAAGCTTAACAGAACATAAATCTAATCCCGATCATTTCGAATATTCGCCTCAGGAAATCCAGATCTTGGTTCATTCTCAATATTGTCCTGATCAATACAACCGTCGATAAAGATTTATAAGGTAACTAGAATTGGAATATTTCGAATCAGAGAACTTAGAGTTCTTGAAAGACATAATTTTCATTAGTATATCCTAGAAATATTATATCCGATATACAAGAGGGTTTTTTGTTCAAGGGCCGTTAAGAGAAACAGAATAATTACCATTCTTGATCATTTCGTTCGCAATAACGTTAATTGCTGACAACAGTTCCGTGATCGAGCTAAATTATATATAAGTGACATAAGTCCTGTCATGAACATCAATTTATCTAAATGCATCGAAGCAGCACTCACCTGATACGTATATGTGAAGACTATAGTATGCAAGGCTTTTTGTTCGGCCAATGAATTGTGGTTACATACTGCTTCTGTTTCCGAACTATGTGGTCATGCTTTTCTCTCTAGCAATGTAAACCGCTCAAGCATTTCCTTGCCAAATTATAGGAATCATAACAATCTTCCATCTGAAGCTGGCTGCTTTTGCTCCCATCTTGGAGTGGCCAATATTATCCAAGCCTCCTCTATAATTTCACGGCGATATATGAAGCTTCTCCATACTTCGATGTCCTTTGCTGTAAAAAACCCTAGCTACGGTCAACATAGATAGGACCAACGAGAGGCGACCGAAACACCCGAATACAATTCTTGAGAGGTTCCTTTCTAGGAAGATGACAGACTTGTAGCAAGAGCGGAAAATCGCAGCGTGCTTTGGCGTTACATCATATTGGATTCCTGGCAATAAAGCCAGGAGAGCGCGTCGCACATATTAGCAGGTCTGGTGATGACAGTTCGTGGCTTACAATTAATTAAGGCGTACTTTCAAACCATGACTTGTAACTCTTTAGGTAGCTGTAGAAACAATTTGAATTCTCGTTATGACTGGGAAGGGAACTGCAGTGCGAGTTGGCTCATGGCGTCGGAGTATGTCGGCTGAATTTGGAGATAAAATTTTATTTCGTAGAACGTTCTCCCGTCCTGCTCCGATATATACCCAAGGAAGGTAAATCACGGGAAGTTTGCTCAATTGATCAGGCGTTTGAATAAATTCACAGGCAGTACCATCGCATGTAATAGTACAAAGACCGACTAGCCAAAAGAGGTGGAATGGCCAGTTCAAATTCGTATACCACTGATTGCATTCTCCACTTGCAGAGAACGAGACTGGCGTCGATGCGGCAACAACATGGCATTCCTCTGTCTGTATGTGACTACCAAGGTACTATATGAGATAGTCTCCAAAAAGAGCAAGGTTTCCTAAAGATGAGCTTTTATAGCGTTCTTGGATAGCGTCAAGCACTGTCATCTTCTGTCCAGAAACGTGTTGTGCAATAGTTTGGACTGAAATCTGACAATTGAAAGCTTTAAATCTCCAAACAATTTGAGTTGATTGATGGATTTGGATCATTGGATTGACGTCTGCATAGTCTGCATAGTCTGTGGCTTTTAGATACAATCAACCTACATTCAACCCATGAATTCAGATTATTAAAGACCCTTGGCCAAGACCAGCCCATTTTTCCGATTAATGTAGTCACTTTGAGTATGTATCATTTGAAAATAAGAACAAATGCTTGAAAGTTACTAATTACACTGTAGCAAAACTTTATATGCAATATTGGCAGAATTTCCACAGGGTATTCACATCCGCGACGTATGTAGCATATGGAAACGAGCCAATTGACTTTCTTTCAACCTTTAAAAATTGAGGATTATGTATCCTCAACCGTGTGGTCAAGACTCGGTTATGCACTGCAGTTCGTTGGCAATCATCAGAAAGAACGCAAAGAGCACTGGTAGCATTTGGGAGGGAAGATGTCGGGTTACAGGCAGGGTATTTGAGCTAGGCAAGAGATGTGATAATATGATCTTTCGAAGCAATCTTTCGAGGAGAGATCCAGTGGCATGTTGAATACTGGTCTGTCATACTGTTGAAGGCAGAACGCTGAAGTACTTCTGGTACAAAGGCGAATATCCCAGTTCTAGCTATATGACTTTACCTACATTTAAGTAGAATATGCATGAGTATCGAAAGGATTGGGAGAGCTATCCCGTTGTATTGATATTCAAATAAACAGCACTAGCCATTGTTTAGATTGTGTACTGGTAGCGAGATAGGCGATAAACAATCGAATGCCAATACTTTGGCAAACTGCACTTGTGAAGATCAGTCAAGTTACGTGAGTTGTGTGAGCGCTGTTGAAGCAGTGGTTAGTTGCATGTTCTCAGGCGACGACAATATTTGAAAATCTAAAATTGGTCTGTGCTCAATAAATTTGTCGAGACGCGATATCAGCGCGCAGAGTAGTGGAAACTTATTCAAACGGCACTACAACATTCCACCATACAGGAAAACGTTGTGTTAATTTTATTCTGGCCCCTCAAACCTGTACCCTTTACAGCAGATATACAAGAAAATTCCAATATGCAGGCGCCTGTAGTAGTAATGAGTAAGTTTCGAAGGCTTTGAAGCTCTTTTGCCCACTACCCCTCATCCTTAAGAAACGACCGGAACGCTGACTATAGCTTCTAGACACCCAGAGTGGTGATAGACAAACTGGTCGAAAAGCTCAGATGTCAAATATCACCGCAGCCAAAACGTAGGAGCTCTTCACGGCACATATCGAGCACCCCGCCATTTCAACAAACCAGAACTGACACATAAACAGCGTCGCAGATATTATTCGATCATGTTTGGGCCCAAAAGCTATGCTAAAGATGTTGTTGGATCCCATGGGCGGTATTGTTTTGACAAATGACGGACATGCCATTCTCAGAGAAATTGAAGTGTCGCATCCTGCAGCGAAGAGCATGATTGAGTTGAGCAGAACACAAGATGAGGAAGTTGGAGATGGAACTACTAGTGTTATTATTCTTGGTATGAAAATGGTTCAGGAACTTGTAAGAAACGGGACTGACAATTTTTAGCTGGTGAAATGTTGGCACAATCTCTTCCACAATTAGAAAGAAACATCCACCCTGTCGTTATTATTTCCGCTTTTAAGGCCGCACTGAAAGACGCTCTCGAGATCATTGAGGAGATTTCCCTCCCAGTCGATATCAACGATGATAAAGCCATGTATCAACTCATCTCATCCTCAATCGGCACAAAATTCGTTTCTAGATGGTCTGAACTCATGTGCAGCTTAGCACTCAAGGCTGTACGAACGGTAACTCACGAGATTGGAGGTGGCAAGAAAGAGGTTGACATCAAGCGTTATGCAAGAGTTGAAAAAATTCCAGGTGGAGAGATCGAGGACAGCAGAGTTTTGGACGGTGTAATGCTCAATAAAGATATCACTCACCCAAAGATGAGACGGAGAATCGAGAACCCCAGAATTATCCTATTAGATTGCACATTGGAATACAAGAAGGGAGAATCACAGACGAACATTGAGATCAGCAAAGAAGACGATTGGAACAAGATTTTGCAGATTGAGGAGGAGCAGGTCAAGCTTATGTGCGATTCTATTCTTGCTCTTAAGCCAGATTTGGTCATCACTGAAAAGGGTGTCTCTGGTATGTTGACTGCTCTCGTTATATTTTGTTTTGCTAAACCGTTCTAGATCTCGCACAACATTACCTGATGAAAGGAAATGTTACTGCACTCCGTCGTGTTCGAAAAACAGACAACAACAGAATAGCTCGTGCAACTGGCGCCACTGTCGTCAATAGAGTGGACGATCTCCAGGAATCTGATGTTGGAACCCAGTGTGGCCTTTTCGAGATTGAGAAGATTGGTGATGAATACTTTACGTTTTTGACCAAATGCGAATCGCCAAAGGCATGCACTATCTTACTGAGAGGTCCATCCAAAGATATCTTAAATGAGATTGACAGAAACTTGGCTGATGCTATGGCCGTTGCAAGAAATGTCATGTTCCACCCCAGATTATCGCCCGGAGGAGGTGCTACTGAAATGGCTGTTGCAGTCAGACTAGGTCAACTCGCAAAGAGTATTGAGGGTGTGCAGCAATGGCCATACAAGGCTGTAGCTGAAGCCATGGAAGTCATCCCAAGAACTTTGATTCAAAATGCCGGTCAGAGTCCAGTCAGAGTCCTCACAGCATTGAGAGCAAAGCATGCTGAAGGCGGAAGTTCATGGGGTATTGACGGTGACAAGGGTACTTTGGTTGATATGAATGAGTACGGTGTTTGGGAGCCAGAGGCAGTCAAATTACAAAGTATCAAAACTGCAGTTGAGGTACGTGGATATATGCTTAGTGATTTTCGAGCCTTTAACTAATCTAATTTACAGTCCGCCTGCCTCCTCCTGAGGGTTGATGATATTTGCAGCGCCAAAGCCGCAAGAGCACCTGGTGCACCTGGCGGTGGGGAGGAATAAACCTTCCAATGTCAGCGTATAAAAAAAAGTGATGATAATATGGTTGATCATACCCTTTTAGCCATAGCATGGAGCCCACGGTTAATGATTGCATGTTCCTTTCTATGACAATGAATAGATATCAAGCCAATATACCATTTTTGGCCACTTTTTCCAATCCCTATAAAACTTCTGACTGTGCAGGAATCTAAAATCACCGGTGAAGTTGAGCTTTTCCTGACTCGAATTATCCATCAATCATCATCGTGGATGATGACGCCGACTTGTTCCTGTACCTCTCCAACAGTATTTGTCCCGGATGCTTCATTGTCGTCATCTCCTTTAACACTTGCATCGATCCTAGGCATGAATTTCCCTGCTTGCGCACCGGCAGCACCGCTAGAATAGTCGCCCTTACCACCTTTCTTCTGTCTCTTCTTCTCCCTCTTCTCCCTAGCTTTCCTAGTCTTTTCGGCATCTTTCTCTTCCCTCTCCTTTTTCTCCCTATCCCATCGCTCCGCCTCCTCTTCCTTTTTAACCTCTTCATCCATCCCTTTTAATCTCTCATATTCCCTTCTACGACTCGCTTTGTATACGTGAAACTCCCCCGATCCAGCTCCTGCTGAACTTCCTTGCACATTCTGCACAATTTCAGGAACAGCTCCTGTTATTCTCGCGCCTAAAGCATTTTTATCTGTGAATTTTCCATCTTCAGGTAAGCCGACGGACATCAACTTGTCGATATGAGAGGCGGTTTCTGAACGAGGAGATATCGCACGACGTTTCAGAGGACGCTTGGAACGAGGGTCGGCGGATGTGGGAATGGATTCGGGGATGTTTTCAGACATTGTTGAAAATACTCTGATGAGTATATATTGTAGGCCAAGGCGTCTCGCTCTGGGTGTTTCTGTTGTAGTTTCGGCGCTGATGTTGTACTGAATTGCGGAAAACAGCTCCAATCTTTACTATTTGGTAGCTATTTTTGAGGTTTGACGCATAAGGTTTTGTTTTGTTTAGGACTTTAGGTTCTGCAGCCTTGTCGCCAGCCCCTGACTAATCTGGGCCAGGCCCGCCAAATTTTGAAATGCCATTTATATGTTTCATCACATCAAATTTACTTTACGATAAGACGATAACGAACGATCGTTTAGGAGAGGGGTGGCAACTTGAAACACCTCACACGGTATCCCTTCCTCGGCATTGTTACAGAATCTGATTTAAGCCTCCTTTTTATTGGTCTTACAAATACAAGATATCACTTCATCAGCTTTCGTTCTGCTATCCCTCAAATATTCTTTACTGTTAAAGCATAAAAATTCCTTGGACGGAAGATTATGGTATTCGATTTGCCAATATGGGAAAACCTCGTATGATCATCCTGATTAGACATGCTCAATCAGAGGGAAACAGTATGTTCCCACGATCTTTTCGCTCACGAGGCTGCCAGCCTTACTATCTATTTCTAGCTAACCTATTCAGAGAACCGTGATATTCATCAGACTATACCCGATCACCGAGTAAAGCTCACCCCCGAAGGTTGGACACAAGCTCATGAAGCTGGTTTGCAACTGCGAAACCTCTTACGTCCAGATGATACCCTCCACTTCTTCACTTCTCCCTATCGAAGGACCCGCGAAACTACAGAGGGCATTTTGTCTACCCTTACCTCCGACTCACCGAGCCCTTCTCCGTTTCCAAGGCACTCTATAAAAGTATATGAAGAGCCCCGCCTTCGTGAGCAGGACTTTGGTAATTTTCAGCCATGCAGTGCGGAAATGGAGAGGATGTGGCAAGAAAGAGCAGATTATGGGCACTTCTTCTATAGGATTCCTAATGGAGAGAGTGCGGCGGATGCATATGACAGGGTGAGTGGATTTAATGAGAGTCTATGGAGACAATTTGGGGATGATGATTTCGCAAGCGTTTGCGTTCTAGGTATGTTTTAGTATTCACGTACGTCTTAACATCCCTAACATTATGGGTGACAGTGACTCACGGACTTATGTCTCGCGTTTTCCTGATGAAATGGTATCATTTCTCCGTTGAGTACTTTGAAGACCTTCGAAACGTCAATCACTGCGAGTTCCTTATTATGCGGAAATCGAATGATTCCGGGAAGTATATATTAGAAAATCAACTACGCACATGGTCTCAATTAAGGCAAGAGCGTCTAGCGATTACCGCTGCAACCAAAACACCTTCCTCAACGCCCGAAAGCGGGCAAACCTCTGGAAAGGACAAAGAAAAGGAGAGTAGGCTATTAGGGGCCGGTCGCTCTCCTGCAGGTTCTTCTAGCCCAATACCAACACATAAGAGATGGGGTGGCTGCCCAAATGGCTGCGATCACGGGAAGCATTACTTCAAGAAGGAAAATTCCATGCATGCCATGCAACTGAACGGTCGCCCAATAGCCTCGGCATCCGCTTCATCCACGCATGTAGACACAATCGCAGCCCGTCGACCCGCAGCCCGTCGCTGGCAATCTTCCTCCGACGAAGACGAGGACGATCCAAGGGGCAAATCTGGGCCACCTGAATTAGATGTCCAAAAGAGTCTCGAAGAGACCGTTAGTAGTCCCGACGGAACACCCAGCTTTATTAGCATAGAAGACCGACTAGGTAGTCGCATTCGAAGTCCCAATGATCTACTTGGCATACGCCATGCTGGAAGAGATGGAGGCGGAAGCGCTAGTGGTGCTAATAGTGATGCTGAATTTAGCGCAGAAGAAGATGTTAGGAAAAGGTTAGCGAAGGGGCGAAACGGGAACAACGGGCTGGGAATTTCAGTATTATCGCGAAAATTAACGAGAGAAGAATCGGATGGAATGGGAAAGGGAGTCAAGGCTGATGCTTTAGGAGATCAAAGTGATGATGGGGATGACGATGCTGGAGGACAGAGTGATGAGGGTGGTGAGCCGAGTCCCAAATTACTTGAGATTCAACAAGCTGAAATATTGGACAAAAGTATCAGGGGGAGCGTCTATTAATAAGTCTAAATTGTGAATTTCTTTACAGGGATGGGAAAGAAAATCATAACTTTGAGGTTTTGGATATCGGACGAAAGGGCATACATAATAAGCGTAAAATTTCGCGGTAATCCTACATATCGAATGAACGAATAAACAAGATGAGACGATTAAAGTTCTCGTTTATCTTGGACTGAATAAGATGGGGACGAGGAAAGGGCCGGATTCGAGCTCCAATACCACTACCACTCATTTAGACCCTCGTTCTCATCTTCGTGTCCATGTATTGACCAGATTATTTGTACGCCTACCCAAGAATCATTTTCCCTGCCGTTTTCTCTACTCTATAAAACTAATCAACCTTGTAATACAGCTCAATAAGTCATCTGGGGCCCAACAATCATAATATTCAAGTATTTGATAGCGCACACTTTTTCCTCAAATCTAAATAAATATACACTAAAAGAGCATTTGAACATCAAAACATCGTTTGATTCGAATCGAACCTCCTTTATGATTTATTTCCTTTTTGGCGCTTTTACACTTTTTGACTTTTGTATGTTTTGCGAAAGGTGTGTTTACATACTACATTTAAATCTGAAGATATTCTACTACCAGTATTCGCTTATTGATGTTGAATCTATGATGTCAAGGGGGAATAGCGAAAAGAAGAGGAAAAGTATCATTAAACTTATCTTGAAACTTACCTTGATGCGATTGTTCACTTACTTGAACAAGATTGATAAAATTGGTTTACTTTTGAAGGAAATCACATATGATTGGGTAATTTCAACTGTGAAAGTGTGTGAAACCTCAGGTGAGAGAGTTGGAGAAAAAGTAAGGCGGAAAAGAAGAATCATTATTGTTTCTCGCCGAATCAATTCACACTTGGTTGAGATCTCAAAACATCTTTCTGATCATTCTCAGAGTAAATTATAGTACAGTTGTCTCCAATCAAATCGTATTATACTGTTTGAATAGTTACGTAGAAGCTGGCTGCTATATACTACAAAGAAAGACACCGTATGAAATAACAGTCTCCATCTGGATAATTGTGTCGTGTCGCGTGTCATCATATAATTTCATATCACATTCCATTCCGTTGTCTTCCATTAATATTGCCAGAGCATTCCAAAGAACTAAAGAAAGCTCCCGAAAGTGAAGCTCATCGCACCGGCCTATCTATTGCCAACGGTATTCACATGTATTGAGTATTCCCGCTCTGTTTGCATTAAATCTACCTCCAACACATCCCTTCCACCACTATAAGTTACGTTTTAGAATTCATTCGTTGCATCATTCTTTTCGTTCGGAGTCCTCCAACGGTCACATCCACACTCGAGAATCGTTGGGGATTTGCAATAAAAGGGGTTTGTTAACCGAAACTAAGCTCTGCACAACAATTGTTAGCACAAGCACACTAGATTAGTATGGATCAAGGAGTTATTGCGTAGACATACCGGCATAGACAGGAGCTTGCCAAGCCTTAGCTTTAGGCCTTGCTTTTTCCTCTCCGGCGCCTTTACCTTTTCCCTCGCTACTTTTTCCACTACTAGTTTTCGTATTGATACTGACGCGGTCTCCTTCTCGTCCTCCCATTGACGACAAAGGAATTCCATTATTCACTACCGTCGCTACTCTTTCCACGCCATATATTACACCTCCGTTTCCAAGTGGTAGATTTGCCATCGTGTCACCCGCCACTGAAGCGCACGCTTCTGCCGCGGCTCTCTGGCTTGCCAGGCGCAATTGGTCGAAAGCAAAGTTCCACTGGTCTTCTGTAATCCGAGTTTCGCAGTGTATTTCTCCTTTCTCTGTATTAGTTTCCCCAGAATGATCTCGCAGGCCACAATTTTCAGTTAAAATGGCGTATATCCTCTCTTGAACTTCCGTTGCTGACGGTCTTCCATCTGGCTCGGGCGAGAGCATTCTTTGAGAGATCGCAATAAATTGAGAAACGCCTCTAAATATTTTATCCTCTTTTTTTGTGGCGTCTTTGAGAAGCGTATTCATCCAGCTGTCGACTTGTGCCAAGTTTTTATGGAAGCTGGAATCTGGCATTCCTCCACCACGACCCGGAGTTTTGTTCTTAGATGATCGATGAGAGGCAAAATTCCTCGTGGCTCGCTTCATAAGAAATGTTATGATTTCAACGAAAATAGCCCCTAAAGCAAATATGTCGGCTTTTTGGGGATCATGTCTGCCAGCTCTGCTCTGTATCCTGGCTTGCGTCGGACTTGAGCCTTCTGATTGTGAGCTGGTTGAAGTGGTATAGATTGACGAAGAGTCATTTCCCAAGGACGTTGAAGCAGTTTGAGACATAGACTCACTCGGAATATGAGCTGAACGACTAGAAGCCGGTGGTCGCGACGACACTAACCGGGTATTGGGGAGGCTGGATGTAGAAGCTGCTGTATAATTATGCTGTTCTGGGGCAGAGTAATCGTAGGTCTCTTTATCAAATCCTCCTTTCTCCCCAGTTGAGAGCTGTGTAGGGAAAACACCAGAATCACCTAGAAATATATGATTGTCAAGGTCGAGCATCACATTTGAGGGCTTTATGTTACGATGCGAAAGACCAGTTTTATGGAGAAAGGACAGGGCACCAGCTAGACAGTGAAGCCAGTTTAGAATGAGGATACGGCGATCCTGCTTTGCTAAAATCTTGAAAGATTGAGGTATTATTGTGAGAAAGGATTTGAGCGAGTTGACGTTGGCTGGAGTCAAGAGTAGGTAGCCTTTATCCTGGTGTATATAAGACGCCCACAAGGAAGTAAAATGTGTATGTTCAACCCCTTTCATTGCCTGAATGCCCGAGAGAAATTCCTCATGTAGCATTCGTTCTGGCGAAGTGCCCAAGAGTACTCGTCTGCGTAGGAAGACAGTATCTGGTCTACCAGGTAAATGGACTTTGTCAACACTGTTCGGCAGAAGACTGGTTACTGATCTAGCGGGTCCTTTCTCTACTGGCTCTAGCGGTACTATTTCTACATCATCGTAGTAAACATGTTCGCCTTTAGCAATATATCTAAGCAGGTAGTTGAATTGGCGCTGAAAAAACTTCTTCTCCAATTTTTCGTTCCTATCGTAGGTCAATTGCAGCCTACCAACCTGGTCCATGGGTATTGGTAAATCATCATCGCCCCAAGAATCGTCGATGACTCCAAATATTTGATCTGGCACACCCAATTCCACTAAGATCAGGAATATTCTTTTGGCTTTCTCTTCAATCCATTCCATATACGTGTCATCGGTCAAGCCGTCGCCAAAGCCTAATGGCTCATCTAGACGCTCTTGCTCGTCTGGACGTAATTTTGATGACACAAATTGGCGTGTAACAGTGGATTGGATTCTTTCCTCATCCCACCACATTGTAGGCATATCGTCTAAGATTCCATTCGAAGTCCGGGGGACACCAGCACCGGCGAAGCTAGCATATATCTGAGGGTTTGTACTAGCTTGTTGCTTTCGATTCATAACCATGGAGCTTCTTCTGTACTCCATGGCTGGAGTGTTCAGAAATTTTAACAAGTTGTTATAGATCGAGTACGAAGGTAGAATTGTTGCGATTGGCAGATAACAAGCTAGTGATAACAAGCTGGATGTAATCTATTGGCAACAGTGCGAAAGCGGGAAAGAGGATCAGATGGTGAGGGGCGAAAACATGAGAGAATCCCAGCCAAAAGGCATATATTCCACTTTTGATTGATCGCGTGGGTGAGACAGAAAGTCCTGGAGAATATTTAGTGGGTTTCAGTGCATTGGATGCAATCCTCAATTGCATGAACTGCTTGATAGTGCAAGGGATTGAATTTATCGAAACGAGTAAGCAATACGTTTATCGCTATCCTTGCAATCTTGCCCGGGTGCTAAGGCATAGCGTGGTGACGAGGCTCCTTATCAAAGTTTCTTTGACAGCAAATATTGAGTGAGACAAGCCTTGTTTGTGTATAGTATTACCAAGGTGATCTAAGGTCTTGGTATATATCTGCACTGTGCAGTATCGCTGTAGTTGAATTGTTTTTGGTTACTGAAGTCGTAAATAGACCCGGGGTTTGCAGCTTGTCTAGACGGAAACAATGTTGTATTTAGCGATACAATGGATGAGCGTTGCGAAGCATGAATCATCTAAACGGTAAGAACGAATTCCAGGTATTTGCGTTGATATGACAGATCATGTTTGTGTATGACTTGAAATCGAGCTGTACCATCTCCCTGGCGGGGTTGAAGAAATACAAGACTCAAAAAGCTCACTGATGAGAAGAACTCGTTATTGAGATCAGTTTTGCCACGAGGCGTTTCTGCGGTTATCTACAGGACAACATCAATGCCATGCTGCTAGAGGATGTCTCATTGCATGCGAAGTATATGATTGGCAGTATCCAAACAATCCTCCGTTTGATTTCGCAAAATGAGCCTTCGTGTACCATTTCCTATTCAAACTACTGAAAGATCCTTCGAGAGGGTCTGGAAGTATCTCTGGTTTGGTGTGCTTTCGGGTAGGTGTCTCGTGTTTGATTCATTCAAACAACTTTGGAAGACTTCTGCTTCAAATTTGTGTAAATGGTCCCGAGGTCACGATAAGCTTTGACGGTGCCTACAGAGTAAATGTACTTGGATACGTGGGGGTCACAGAACATGTGGGTGGTCGATCATGAGTTTCGCAGGGGGCTCGCAGCAACGAGTCATCTTGCAAGGCTGAGTTGTAGATCCTTTTCTTGAAATTCGTTGCTGCAATAGATAAAAGGATAGGCAATTCTGATTCCAAAGCGTAGAGTGTCAAGCTCCTCCCTACAATCCATTCTCTGTTGGCACAAAGACTGATCAAGATGGGCCAAAATATTTGTGGTACTGTTCCACGTACCGAACCGAGGCCCTATCTCCGGGTATTCAAGTGCCACCTCATGAAGGATACGTTGATTGAGCTTCCCGATAGGCTGAAATAACCAGTCGAGAAGAAGCCGGCATCATCATGATAATCAAAGCCACATCGATTGAGACCAGCTTTGCGAGGCGGCTCA